CCTCTCAGCAGTGAACTGAGAGATGCCAATGTCCTGCAGTGGAATGAATGGCTGTTAAAAAAAAGAAAAGAAAAGAAAAAATATATATATATATAAATATGTATACATATACATATATATACATATATATATATATATATATATATATATATATATATATATATATATATACATATATATACATATATATATATATATATATATATATATATATACACACTCATATTCTATATCTATCTATCTATCTATCTATCTATCTCTTTCTCTTCTCTCTCTCTCTCTCTCTCTCTCTCTCTCTCTCTCTATATATATATATATATATATATATATATATATATATATATATATATATATATATGATTTATGCACATACAAACACACACACACACACACATATATATAAATGTGTGTGTGTGTGTGTGTGTGTTTGTATAAATAAATAAATACACACACACACACAGACACACACACACACAGACACACACACACACACACACACACACACACACACACACACACACACACACACGCACGCACACACACACACACACACACACATATATACATACATATATATATACAATGATAATAAGTGATTAATTACACAGGCATGAATACACATTGTGCAACTGTTTGGTAATTCTTAGAAAATTAATAATATCTTGTGAGAGCGGTTAGTGATAATGATGATATAGTATAATAGCAATAGTAGTAATGACAATAATTATTCCTTCCCTTTAGTAAACAAAACAATAGTTTTTTTTTTCTTCTCTTTTTTACCATTTATTGCGCAGATAAAGCCCGCATAAAGGAATGAAGGAAATGCTTCTGCTTAAAAGGTTATAACAATATGAGATGAATACTATAATAACATCGAGTTTTTTACAATTACTAATACATTTCTTACACTGAGCAAATCGATGCGTCTGGCCCATATTACGAGCAAGAGGGGCCTGAAAATTGCGCGGAAATTTTAAAGTCAAGAACGCTATCTCAGTGAGTTTCTTTCGGTACTTGTAAAGCATTTCACTGTACATTGCAAACGCGCGATATGCCATTTTCGAAAGCCAATGTACCGAATGAAATATTTATGACAAATCACGCGGTACCAGGTGTGTGATCGGTGCGTAATATAGTAAATCTGATAACTAATCGAAAATGGAGACCAGATCACAAGCCGTGTGAGCTCTGTTATTTTAGATTTTAATTTAAATAGGAATTTTTATACATCGTTACATCTGTTCTGCCGAAATGTACAAAAGGAAAGCCATTTTTTTCAACCAGCGATAAAATGGTCATTGTCCAATAAGGATTATTTTCGTCTTTCTAAAATATATTCTGCGTTAATCACTGGTCTTTGGAGTTATAGGATCACGAGAAAGTTATTAACTGTATTAGGAAATCCATAACTACCAACGCTGATTATTCGGAAGTAACAAATTCAAAATTCATTATTACTACCAATATAACAGCGATAATGAGCTCGGGCAAACTAACGGTCTTTGAGCATACTGAAGATGGCGGGAAATCGTGGCGGTTGTGCTCGGCATGACAGAATGAATGTATACTTTATAATATATTTGGCGATTTTTTCAGTCCTTCTTAGCGGGAAAAGGAGGTTTTATGCTTATGTCTAACGGTTTTTAAGTCCAGATTAGCGGTTTTATGAAAATTTCAATGGCAACATTACACAAAAAACGTTCAGTGTGTGTTTGTTCGCTGTTCAAGAAGATGCACGTATGAAAAAAATATCATATTGAAAACCGGCTGAAAGTTTTACAAGTCGTAAAATACCGACAGAAATACTATGATGAGCAATTGTTCTAAGCTGCTTGGCATCATGTGTCAGACACGGCCTCCGAAGTATTTGGCACTCAGACAAAGGCAAATGAATTCCACCTTACATATGGCAAGTATGAATACTGAACTGTTTCCCTAGTTGACGGTAATCATTAATAAGGTTTGTAAGCTGTTACTCAAATGTGTTGAAGGTTTGCTGTTTGAGAGTAACATCCGCGTAGATCGCGTTGCCAATAACGCAACTTTTTGTTTCCATTTTGTTTTGTTTTATTTGTCATACTATTTGTAAACGCAATCAATCAATAAAATGGCGTATCTGTTTGAGTAATAATTAACGAAACTTTATACATAAATTTGATAGGATCAACAGGAAACTTACGAAACGCCTTTTCATATTCAAAAGTTGCTTTTATTCAACCATGGCTTGATGCATTTGAATTGTGCGTCAGTCAGGCAAATAGCAATCCAGAATTTAACCGCAGTATTGTCGAAAATAATGGTATGGGTGAAACATGGCCCCCGTCCCCGTAGAGTTTCAACAAATACTGTTTAAAGCTATTTTAGTGTTTTGGTTCGGTTTTGTTTTGATAATAATGATGATAATAATAACAATATCGATAGTCATAATGTTGATATTAATGATAACAAAAATAGTAATAATAGTAACAATGATAATAACAATAACGATAATAATGATAAT